CATAAAGGAGGAAGCAAAGCGCTTAGTGCGAATTGGTGGAATATCAACGACATAAGAATGGAGTGCTCCGGACCTTCTAGTCGACCGAAGGAGGAACGGTGAGGGCGGAACCAAATTGAAAAGTTCCTGCGCACACTACCCGAAATATATCCGAAGCAGAAAACTGACAAGCAGGCTACTTTCCTGCGATAGTCGAGATTTTGAAGCTTCGACTCCACAAGAGAATGATTGTTAATAAGTCTCTGCTTTTCGCTCCACCGAGTCCAAGGCTGCTAACTGTTAATGGGCAGAGCCGTCCTTCAGCCGTCCGTCAGAGAAATTTAGAAAAAATCATTTCCCAAATTGGTTCTACCGGGAATCGACCCCAGTGCCTCCTCATCCAGCGCCCACAGAGCAAACCGTTGGGCCAACGAGGTTGCAAAATAAGTAAAAGTATAAAGGCAGCGAAATCTGAATGGCACTGTAACTGTAATGGATAGGGATGTCGCTTACCACCATGTGTACGATGACTACATGACTACAGCCGGTCAAAAAAAGTTTATGTGAATGCGTTATGTCCGAAAACCGCGTTGCGTGTTTGGACACTCGGCTCGGACTGCCGACGAGAAACACACAATGTCTTTTTCGCCCTTAATACATGGCCTTAAAGATTTAAGCTTAAGTAGTTTTAGTAGTGCATTCATTCCCATACTTGAGTATAATGTTTGTATGTAAAATATATACAATGTTGTAGAACGTAATGATGGTCCCATCGATTTGGGTATCGGATATATTTTTGTTACACAAGAGTTGTTCTTGTGTCCTACTGTAACACACACCTTATCCACTCTGTTCTTCCCAATACCTTAAGAGGTACACACTAGACCTCACGCGTACCTCTCGAAGCGCCCTTCACATGGAAACTTTAAAGGTTATCGGTGCTTATGCAATACAAGGAGGTTTGTGCAAAGAGAGAATTGTCGGAAATGCTGTAACTGCAAGTTCCTTAACTCTTAGATTTTTCTTTTTTATTTTATTTGGGATAACAACAGCCATTAAGTTTTTATTCTTAAAAAATGTGATGCGTAAGTAGATGGATTTGCTGCCATCATGCTACAGAGAGTGGCCTCTTTGATGTGCGTGGAGCTGTTAACAACCTCCTTGGTGGCAGGATTAAGCGTTCATTCCTTGAACACTGGATACAACTTCATTTAGCAAATATTTGTAATTTTCATTTACTAACATTAGTGTGTAAGAGTTTTTCTGTTTGGTTTTGTTGTGCTTTTTACTTTTCCAGTTTTTTTTATTCACTGTTCTGTTGTTTTAAGTCTTAAACATAGAACTAAAGAGATTGTATATTTATTTCATATTTATGTGCTTTGTGACGTAAGTCATTCGTCATTACTATACTATATCTATGGAGAGACCGCATTTTTACACCTATGAAGTAAATGCTCCTTAGTAGCGATTATGTAGAAAATAAAGTAATATAAAATAGTAATTTTAATGTGGCTGAATACTGGCAACAGTTGCCATATTGAAAAAAGTCAGCCAAAAAAAGTACTAATTTTTTTCATCGTTTACATTCCCGCCTTTTTCATTAACTTTTTTACGATTTGATTTTGTTATTGACTACTAAAGAAAAAATTGACAATATTATTTATGCAAAAAATGAGTGATTCCGACGAGTGTATTGTAGATTTAACACCACCAGATACGTGCAAAAGCATTAATAGCAAGCAATAGTACTTTACCGGATAAATCGAAAGATAAATACACAGCCGTCTATGATCAGTTTATAGACTGGAAGCTAGAAAACAAAACGGTTTCATTCTCGGAAAACGTACTTATGGCTTATTTTCTCGAACTGTCCAATAAATACCATGCATCAACTATGTGGTCAAAATATTCCATGTTAAAAACTATGATTAAAACAAAAAACGACATTGATATAAAAAACTACACGAATTTGACTGCGTTTCTGAAGAGGAAATCTGAAGGATACCAAACCAAGAAGTCTAAAGTGTTGACATCTAACATTGAAAGATTTATTAACGTAGCTCCAGATCATCAATATTTAATATTGTGTCTAAGTCCTACAAAGGTAGGACTTAGACACAATCTTTCGTTTCTGATATGTACACTTATTAAGTTATCTACACTATAAATATGTGACTAATATTATTTATTAAATTAGTTTGCAGGTTGCACTCATTTTTGGGATCTCTGGTGCATGCAGGCGCGAAGAACTGTGCAACATTACAGTTAAAGATATTGCAACTCATGGAAATATGATAGTAGTAAATATCCCAAATACTAAAAATAAAATTCCGAGATCGTTTACTGTTGACGGGCCATTTTACGAAGTTGTTAGGAAATACTACAGTCAGCGTACATCAAAAGGAAAGAGTGACCGTTTTTTTCAAAATTATCAGAAAGGGAAATGCACTGCGCAGGCTATTGGCATCAATAAATTTGGAAACATGCCAAAAGAAATTGCCACATTTTTTAATTTACCAGATGCCGATTTACCTTTGTACAGGTCATAGTTTTCATAGGTCTTCTGCCACATTACTTGCAGATTCTGGGGCTAATATGACAACCCTAAAGCGACATGGTGGATGGAGATCGAGTCACGTTGCTGAAGGCTACATAGAAAGCTCCATTGTTAACAAATTGAAAATCGGAAACCAAATAACACAGTCTATCCATATACAGCCACCAATTGAACACTGTCAGCCTACTCCACAATCTTCCACGTTTTATGAACCCCAACCAGGCCCGTCTCAGACCCCCGACAATATTTGTAAACCTGAACCAGGAACAAGTTCATCTGATTCCGTCGGACGTCAACGTTTTTGTACACCAACTAATAATCAAGGACCTGAGCCAGAATCGACGCAGACATGCGAAATTAACAGCAGCTTGAGTCAAACTGTGAACTTGCCGGCAAAGATCTCAAAGTACAGTGTTACTCTTAATAATTGTTCAAATTGTACTCTGAATTTTTATCAAACAAAGGAATAAAATGAGGTTTTTTTTAAATACTGTTTTATTTTACTTTCAATGTAGGTTTTTCGCAAATGTATTAAAAAACGTTGTTTGATACACATGCGGATTTGTCATTTTCACTTGTCTCGAGTCTTGGCCTCGAGACTCGTGAATAATGACTAACTTTCCGCACTTGTATCAAAAATAACTATATAACAATTATTCGATAGGCCAATTACAGCTACCCACTAAATGAATTATTGACAGTTAATGTATTTGTCAATGAAAAAGTACTATAGTCGTCAAAACGTAAGAGGCTCGATTTGACAGCTAAGGAAGACGATAATAAGTAACTTTGAATGCAATCAACGAAACAATAAGCAAACAATTATTAATATCGAGTTCTTAGGTTTTCGCGCTTGTTACACATAGGAAATAAAACTATTTTTCCGGATTTAAATCGCGAATTATTTGTTTTTTCAAACAAACCAACGTTTCGGGCAGTTTACAGGTCCTATGGTCACGGTTGACATAATGTTGATGACGGTTGTCAGTCATTTTTAAGAATTAAATCCGGAAAAATAGTTTCATTTCCTAAACAATTATTAACTCAGCAAACAAGAGAAGCAATATGATAGATGTTGACACTGAATATCAGTAAGCCGGTCAGAAAAAGCTTTAAGGTGGCTACAGATTTAGAGTAAAAGTGTAAGAAACAAACGACAATTTGCCCATTATTATTAATTTTCCGACACCGAAATAGGGAAACACAAACCACCACCGACCCTTTTTGTTTATGGCATAAATAAAAATAAAGATAATAATAAAATTCATGGCAATTACCCCTTAGAGAAGGTGTACCGTGTACTGTAGACGAGGCTGTACTCTATGAGTAATCTGCTGGCTGAACATAGA